CATCAACTGTACGCAATACACCCTGGCTACAATCGGTAAAATTCACATAAGTCTCTCTCTCTCTCTATCTATCTATCTATCCTATCTATCTATCTATATTTAAATAGAAGAAGATCCAAGACCTCTCTCGATCAAGAACAATCTGTTTGAAGGCTAGCCTTCGCTGACAGCATAATATTTGAATGCTATCAAGAACTTGCTTTACGATTGGCAGTACATGGAACAATGTGTTTAGGTTCACAAAATAAATATATCCCTATAAAATCATCCGTTCAAGAATTCATGAGTTCAGCAACACACACACACACATATCTGAAGTCACAACCATGGTGCCGCCGCAGGAAGCGACGCATCATCCAAAAATCCTGACAAGGAACAGGCGGTGCTCGAAAGTGGGGTAGTCAAGTGTGATTGGACTCACGGAACATTGTTTAGGACGCTACTAGGGGCTCCTGGCCTCGCCACTAGGAGCAAGGACGCAAATGGGAGTCCGGGGCCCAGGGTGAGCAAGCCTCGAGGCCCTACATGTTGTGCGATTAAGGTTGTCTACCTGCCAGTCAGGAGATGATAGCTGTGTCTGTGTGTCGGTGCCATTACGGTGTGAGCATCGCGCTTGGTTCGGAGCCGGGGAGCGAACCCCATGTGTACTTGCTTCGACGAACACACTGTCCTGGCCCGGTTGTTGCTTTATTGGCCAAGGACTGTTTAGGTGTCAAACGCAAATGTATACCGGGTATACCGACATGCGCAACTTACAATAATCTGCCACGCTACTCTCGTTTGTTCTTCATTTACTCCAGGGTCTACCATAGTCTGTTTCAGGTGGTGGGCTACAGGTTGAATGCCCCTGCATTGACACTATAGACTTGAACTGCCATGAAGTGTACGCAATGGACTCTGAAACCATTGTGTGATGTGGCAAGTGAACAGTGCGCAAAGCTATCTACCATAGACGTACTGAAACGCCCACCATGACTTGGTGAAATTGCAGTATTTCACCCCGTTTTTGCCAAACCTTGCACTGATCAGTTTCGAGGAGGGGGGGGCCTAACCAAGCATCATCCCCACGCCAAATGCTGTGAACCGTCCTTTGCCGATTGCTCCGACATGCTGCGGAGCTGTGCCAATGAAGCTGGCGAGCGGCGTCAGGGGCCAAACCGAAAGGGCGGAGGGGTCAAAATGATGAAGACAATGACAATAATGCCTGTAGCATGTGTGGGACTTGGGCCTGAAAAGGCTTCACTTGAAGAACAGCTTTTTCACATCTTTCTACTGTAATTGGTAGCTTCGAAGATACTATCAAAAATCAGAAGCAGTGCTGCTGACGGCGGTTCGCTCGGTCGGCCTAGGATACTGCCAACCACATAGGAAAAACCCACCAAGGCAAAGACCTGCTCCGAACGGTTTCTGCGGAGGCAAATGATGTCTGAATGCCTCCCTCTTCGCACAGCTAATAGCAGATAACAATAGACAACAAACAAACTACCTTGTTGTCATAGTGGCATATCAACTACTTGATGTGGAGATTGGCGGATTGCAAATCCCTTATTTTAAACCAAGACATGGCGCTGTGCTTAGTGCTTTGCAAGAAGGTAACTACTCGCATTCCTGGCACAAAGCCAAGCCAAGTTGCCACTACGAAGATGGCAAAAGCTCGTTCAACCTGACAGATCGGATCGGCGAATTGATGACTATGAAGTCTGATTGTCCAAGATCTTCAAGTCTGCTTGACAACAGCATCATGTAAGTACGGAGATTCCAGTTCTTGTCATGCATTTTCCAAGTTTGTGGGCAATTAACACGGATTTCTATCAAATGAGCAATCTCTTGATGAGAATGATGATGCTGGAATATATATAATATAGATATTGACACGTCCATTCCCGAGACCAGGTGTGGAAAGCAAACAAGAGCAACAACAGCAGCAGCAGCAGCAGACCTTCCGCCTTTCAGCCTAGTTTACATGCTGTCTCAAAATACAGCTTAAAAATCGAAGTTCATCAACGCTGCCTGGTGCCGGAAGAGTTTCTCAATTCCAGCAAAGACATGCGATCAACATTGATTCCAGCTGGGAAGCTCAAGGACGATGGTGGCTACAAAACAACAAAAGCGGCCCGCCATATCATTGGGTGACCCACAAGGTGTGCAGCAACAAACAACTCCTACATACAGCTGCGAAAGAGAAGTGAAAACTGCAGAAGAGGGTTCTCTGGGGGGTAAGGGATGACATTTCTTTTTGATATGTGAAAGGGATTGGCACCTGGAATTTTCCTTTATCTGGTGCGCATGGTCAACTGAGTCCGTGATTAAACAATTGAAACGCTGGCACACATTTCATGTTCCTTACATTTGCCACTAAATCCTCATGGCCCTGGGTTGGCAGATCTTCGAGGCAGCTGCAGAAGCACCCCGAGATCTTCACCACACACCAACCCCTCTCCATTCAATTCCACTAGAGGAATGCTTCTAATGGGATGGAGGCAATCACTATTAGGTTGGAGGCCATCGCAATTAGGTTGGAGGCCATCGCCCATCGCAATTAGGTTGGAGGCCATTGCAATTAGGTTGGAGGCCATCGCTGTTAGGTTGGAGGCCATCACAAATAGAAGAGACCTTAGAGAAATAGATACTTCTCCTCACTACCCCAACACCGCATACGCTGCCAGCTTCCGAGGCACTGTGTTCTGCGGCTGGATGGGAGGTTTTGAGGCAGGAGTAAATTGAGTGATCGACCAGTGGAAACTGGTGACGTAGCGGTTGTCCTAGGACCGAGCCGTCATGGGTTGACAGGACACACATGGGACACTGTCTCCCAAATGAATATGGCCCAAAGATCGCAATCCTCTTTGGGCTTCTTAGTGGCAATTGGAGGACCCTGTTCACTTTTGGATAAGGGTCAAGACTCCCATGCTTTTAGTGGCAAGCTCTTTAGTGGCAATAATCTGGAACACTGAAAGGAGCCATTGTTGAATTTTGTGGCACGAGAGGGCTGCTTGCCGGAGGAAACCACCAAAGTGGTTGAACGTACCAGACTGTGGCAAGGTCTGGCATGAGAAAGACGCTAAGACTACACACGCAAGAACTGAAATACTGGGGTGGACCACGGGGATCACCCGGGGGCGGTTTCTGTAGTGACCCAGTCGTTTCGGAATCATTCGGAATCCATGAATTGGCTGGTACAATCATGTCGTATCCATCCTCAAGGTCGGAAATAACACGGTAAACTCAAGATGGACAATAGACACAGGTCTTCAACCAGTGTGACAAGTGTCCCACTCGGTCATCAGCATGCGGCTTTCATCCTTAGTTCAGCCCAAGGCAAAATAACTTGGTCAAAAGCGAGACCAAGCAACCTTCTTTCTCTCCATCACCGACGCCCAACGCCTCAAAAAAATAGTTACAAGTGCCTTTGTCGAACACTGGGCATGCTGCATGTGCTCAGTTGACTTTGTTAAGGTCCCACTCCATCTTGAGATGAAGTGCCCAATCTCTATTCCTGTCTTGAGTTCAATCTGCCAAGCTTCCACCCATGCAGGCATTCCGCCGTCATACAATGTTAACGAGATTGCGTACCATACACCTGGTCCAGGCTCAAATCATGAACGGAGCATTCAAGCTCAAATCTCAAAGGAAGGCTTTCACTGGACATGAACTGCCTATGTATGGTTCTTGATTATTCAGAATATTCATGAGAATGAATGTCAATCCAATCTTGCAGCAAGGGCACAAGCAATCATATGATTGAGAGCTAACCTGAGAATGGACTCCACACTTTCATTTCATGAATCAACTGATCAAACTTTGTATTGTAGACATGTGCAGAAATGCTTGCGTCACAATAGAGTCATACGATATGACAAGTTCACAGACTTGAGTCATTGAAAGCTATTGGAGCTGGTTCAAGTGATCAGTCACCGAACATGCGGCCAACATCCATCAAAGCCAAGGTGCAATAGCAGGATCATCTTGCACTGGCAGGCCGGGGCTCTGGGAAGAATCACACACACACACACACTTGTCTTGGACAAGAAAGCACACAAACAGGTCAAAGGAACAGAATTTGTTCGTCGAAGTGTGGTGCCTAATGCCTAGCGGCCTAGTGGCTTAAATCCTTCTGACGCGCTGTTGTAAGTTATACAGTGTACAGTGAAATTAGGCCGATTTATAAGGATAAGCATGGACTATGTGGATTCTGGATATCTCTGGACATGAATCACCTATCAGCCTACAGTCCATTAATCTGGTGGAGGTCATGAATTGCTGTGTGAGTCCATACTTTGAAGGTCACACAAGCTGCTCACAGCATACGGTATCTCTCACTAGCAGCACTAGCCAATCTCAGGAGGCGTTCAAATCCCTGCTTTGTTGATCAAACATCTCCCCTGTGCAACATAGCCAAAGATCCATCTCCAACCATGGGGAAGGAACTCTGCACCTTACTTTCCCGACGCCAAGCTGCGATGTTTGCCATAATGCTGGCGACCTCGGAATCCAAGTAGTCACTGAGCTTTTCCATGACCTGCAAGAGAGATGAGAGAGTCAATTGGTTGACTTGGAGGCCAATGAGACATGATGCTCCCGCACCAATCAGTTACAGGTTGTTCGGGCAGTCTATTTTGAGATTGCTGGATGAAGGGGTGGGCATGCACAAAATTTGCACCAAAAGACAAATCAAACCTCTATGTGTTCTATGGGCTGTTGGTCTTTTGAAAGAAGGAACATCCTGGATCGAGTTAGCAGTGCTATTTTTGCGCCCAGAACCATTATATAAAGCGCTTGCAAGAAGCTTCTATCTATATTATCCGTTGAACCAGCCAATGGACAGTCAAGTAAAAGTACTATGGGACGCTATTGACAAGGCTCTAGTCGCAGGTCTTCGTGAGGGGTGGACATGTATTATGAACAGAAGTTCCCAAAGCTTTGCTCACCAGCTAGTCTATTTTTTGGGGTGGTTCCCTGAAGGAGTTTCATTGTGGGACTACAATAGTCAGTGTACACTGTACACATACAATGCGCCTACGGTGTTTACCTAATCCTTTTCAATTTTGCCAAGAATTCCGAAAGCAAGAGTTCCAAAAAATCCACTGTCCAAATAGGCTTCCGCCACAGTGCTTGCCCTCCCTCTGCGTCGATTGGTGGCGTGCCTTCTGTAGCTTCAACAGCCGCAACAGCCGTGCAGTGCGCGCCAGCCGGAGTATCCGCAACAAACGGACGCCCTCCTCCTTGAGAACTGGGAAAGACAACAGCTGACAAACAGGGAGGACTGGTGGCTTGTGGTGACGTTGCATCCAGAATCACAGAATATCACAGAATCACCAACAATAATCACCAAACAAGCTGCATAGGCTTGGAATGTGCTCGTATTATGAACATTTCCCCAAATGGTCTTCACACAGCGCAAAGCTCTGTGTCTGTGCTTGATGCATTAAGGATAAATACTTCTCAGTCACTGAAAAAGCCGTCCATGTCTTGGCGCGTCCCGCCTCAAAGCCGCTGCTCTGTGCTGTTTCATCTGGCAAGGTTCGGCATAGCGGGGTGGAGGCTTCGGAAACCTTGTTTGAGATCGAAGGTATCGAAAGAGACAGGCCAACTACAGAGCTAGAAAGAACGCCAAAGGAAAGTGGCTCTGTGAACAGGAGATTGGTCTTGGGATCCATGATCCCCATTGCCTCAAACATCACCCAAAGGTACAACTATCCAGGAGCTCCTAGTAGCGTCCTTGCTCCTAGTAGCGATGCCAGGAGCCCCTAGTGGCTTCTTGTTCCTAGTATATACAGTACTGTATATGTTTCTGATGTCGAGTGCTTGCACGGAGAATAAGACAGCGATGAGTTCCTAGTATATACAGTACTGTATATGTTTCTGATGTCGAGTGCTTGCACGGAGAATAAGACAGCGATGATGGATGGACATGGATGCTGTCGCGCTCTTGAGTAGATTGTGCCTCTGATCCTGGGGTAGGGGTTCTCCATCGCCCAACCTGAGGACACCTAAAAATGCACAAAGGACCTTATGAGACTTTCCAATGAAGTCCTACCTACTCACCCAACCTGCAAGGGTGCGCTTGTCCGGTCACATGCGCCTGCCAAGTTGGGGTTTGACAGCCGAACCAGCGTGAAGGCCCAGTCCGGCGTCAGAGTTATGATGTCGACGATCATCCAAGTTTTGCAATAGTTGATGAACTCAGAGGCCAACGGAACTGGTACACAGTCAAGCAAAAACATGTTCAATGGTGATACAGTGATACAATTAGGTCACTGCCGTGCATGTCAAGCATCTCAAGGTGGGTTGCTCAGGATGTAGATCAGTTGTGACAATGTTTGAAGTCTTTGCAAATCCCAAGGCCAGTGTCCAAAACGTCATGTAACGCAATGTCTTGCCGGCAAGTTGCGATATCTCTCCTTAAGTCAAACAGGCAAATTGATGCCGAATTTGCTTCAAGAATCGCACACGGCCAGGATACAACATAGGAGAGGCAAACGAGGACAGCAATAACGCACAGCAAACTTGCAATAACAAGGACATACAGGGACCTGGAGGACACGTAACAAGGCAATATTGAGGATCTTGGTATGGAATGGCTCTAAATCTCCATGCAAGGAATCAGGCAGGGTAGGCAGCTTTGGCCAAAATACCCAAGCACCATGCTTAGCCTAGCCGTAAATGCACTTAGGCTCCTGGCATGCTCATGCCCATGGCCATCTGACAACCAGCCATGCTAAAGCAATACTGTATCTGCAGATCTAAATCAGTTCAGTGGCGGTCTCATGATGGTCTCTCCTTTGAAGGTGTATCCAACTGTCAACGTTGCTGGCACGTTGAGGGTCCAAAAACATAGGGTCATCCAATCCTTCAGGCATGCAACATGTTTGTTCGGCGGAACAACTACTTGACTGCAGCAAAGAACTGGAACTACCTTTTGCTGCAAGCTGATATTCCAGATTCTGATCTTCATGTAGGATGCACTCATACTTAAAGGACTTCAAGCAGTCTGTGAGAATTAGCCTCACTTCTCTCGCCACCTTGATGGGAAGTAAACGCCAACCAAAGATTTGACCCAAGGTTGTCGGATGTCTGTCACCAAGACTTTTTTTGCAAAACAATGGCAACCCGGTCCATCATCTCCGTGAACAGAGATTCTGGATAGTCGAAGACCTGTGCCAGCTTGCGCGATGGTTGAGAGTTGCACCACCGAGATTGGGTCGGCATTTCGCCAGTCTGGAACTGGGAATGGAGTAGCTGAACAAACACAGATTCCGTGGGAACGCGCATCAAAACTCATCCACCATACAAGCAATGGGATCATGTTCGTGCCGCTCCGACAAACACCAAGAAGAGTCAGTCACCTACAACAAGATCCAATGTTCACCTTGACAAGCCCTGTGCCGCGCAAACTGTCAAAGCTCATCTCTGCAAAACTTGGGAATCCAAAGATTCACTATCCATCTTGAGATTTAAGTAGGTCGCCCATTCTCTCACCATAAGAACCCTATGGAACCCTTGTAGGGCTACATGTGTGTCACATCCTCAAATTCGCCCCATCTAGGGCAATCCCATCTTTGCCAGGAATGTGTGATATCTTCTCTTCTTGCAGGGACAGGGGCGGTCGGCCGTCACAGACTGGCCACTTTGGCTTGTTTCATGAGTAGGATCTCCCAAGCCCGCCTTCAATGGAATCCTCGGTTGAGTCAGGAATAAACACATCATGCCTGACACCATGTGCAAGCAATCGATGCCAAAGCATGCCAAAGCAAACATCATGCTGCACCAATGCAATGTGCGGATCGTGCAAGTCCTCATTCAACTCCCAAATGAACAGAATGGACTACAAGTGGTGTCAACCTACATACAATAGATTTTGGGGTGTTTGCATATGGTGAGGTATTGACCCAAAACCATGTAGCATCGCATTATTATCCAATGAGATGAATTCACTTAGGTACAGGGGTGCACCTCCCTACGAGGCTACTGTTCAGGTGCTACGGGTTGCACTTGGAGACTTGGATGATCAGGCAACAAACCAGTCTAAAGAAGCTCCAGCTGAAATCAACTTGTATCAGTTCATGGTCTCAAGGCCTCAAGGCAAGTAGGTCCAGCAATTCTCATCTATTGCTCTGAACATCATCGGCACCTGGAGATGTGACAAATTGCTGCCCAGGTGACACAAAAAGATCATAGAGGATCAGCAGCCCTCCAAAGAGGTCCCAACAAACGCGAGACTTTTGCGCCTTGTGCGACGTGTGGAAAAAAGACCAACCAATTCCATTTAGGTAGACCTGGGTCAGAAAGTGTTAGAAGAGGACGGCTATATCATCCTGTTTCAAACAATTGTTTCCAATGCATCAGGATCGTAGCATGATGAATGTGAGTGAATAAGCTCACGAGTCGAGTGCTTCTCTTCATCAAGCCATCAAGGGATGAGCCACACACACACACACTCCTTCATTCTTTGAGGGCGGCCGATGAAACACCAATCCCCTCATCGTCATGGTTCAATCTGGTGGGCATCTGAACCGGATGCTCACCATGGGTGAAGCAATGCTTGCAATTTGTACGAAGTGCCTTCACAGCACAGCGCCTACAATAGCACCACAAATTCTACGAATTACTGGATTACTTGCACCGTTTGCACTTGCAAAAGGAACAACAACGACGACGACGACGACGACGACGACAACAACAACAACAACATACCAACAACTTTCTTGTGTAATCTCAAGGTTGTGAGGAGTTTGATTTTATTAAGATTTTGGTGAATCCTCACCAGCCCAACCACCGCAGGAAACCGATGCACAAAACCAAGGGAGGATCAAAGAATCCTGGGTATCGGTATGCTCTGCCAAGCTACCGGGTATGCGATCAACGAGTTCTTGCGGGCCTCGAGGGAGGAAAAAGCGCAATACTGACCAGCGAAATACACGAAAGAGTTGACGATTGGGGTGAGGTATGTAGAATTGTATAGGCTTGTGACTTATGCGATCAATCACAATGAAGCAAGTTATACACCATGTAAGACAACCAGTAGGTAGCTCCAAACTTTGACTCAAACACGAAACGCCATTGGATCCATCATGGTCTCAAAAGAATCCACACCATGGAAACACGTGTTTCGTCACGAGGTCTGAACACTCACGACTTGGTTCAGCAAACACATCCATGGTTCTTGTTCCGACAAGCAGCAGGCAACCGCTCCATGGATTCCGACATGGGAAGCTTGACTGGAGCAGATCCTTGGAGACTGTGAGAGCAGTCAAGACCAAGAGGTTTTTTGGAGCGGCATATTTTTTTGGGGAAGTATTGCACCGCTTCAAGCAGGATTGATGTTCTGGAAGGACACACAAATGGAGACCACCCCCACCATTGAGCCAGCTGCTAAAATGAAGACGCCATGCCCTAAGACTGAGACTCCTGAGGCCTTCCATCTTATTTATTGCTACTGCCAGCTCTGCAGTTTGCAGTTATGTCAGATTTGAGTGCCTGGACTCCTGGGATGGATGGTTGTGCCCATTGAGTCGGGCAAGCAACCCAAATCGAATCAACATGAAGGTCTATAGGAGCGATGCCCTTTGTTACTAGTAGCTTCTTGTTCCTAGTAGTAAGGCCAGGAGCACCTAGTAGCGTCCTAGCTCCTAGTAGCGATGCCAGGAGCCCCTAGTAGCTTCTTGTTCCTAGTAGCTTCCTAATGCTAGTTGAGGATTCTTCTAGTCCCACTTCGGTTTACATTTGCCAAAAGTTCCAATATATGAGGATCTTGAGCACTTCGCGAGACCCTGTGCACCTAGGCTCAGGAAATTCCTCTCATTCCCCTTCTCAACAATTGGGCACCAACACACAGCTTGGGCTCAAAGAATAAACAACATATATACATGGAATCATAATCAACATGTCATTGGGATAAACCACAGGCTTAAACTGACCACAACATTTGCTTTCCGACAAGTGATGTCCTTCCTGTTTTGCGTGTTGGGAGAAAACATTGCCGTCAAAGAAAGAGAGGAACCACAAATGGAAAGGGCCCCCTTAATGAGGATCCTTTTCAACAGGACCCTACCCTTGTTTTCCTCTCTTTCTTCCAATAGGTTGGAGGCCATCGCTAGTAGGTTGGAGACCATCGCTATTACCATGGATCCTAAATCCTCAAGTGCAGCAAGGATCCTCCAAGAGTTCCACCGATGGTTTCCAGAGTGTTGGACGGCTGCGATCCCACCTCAGGAGAATGGGCAAGTGGCAACATCCTCGCTCAAAGAATGTGTGGAGACGCTCAAGTTTAGATCATTCTGAAGGCAAGTTCTGCCGATTCTATTTGCATGGAAACGAAACCCTGAGCCACCCACTGCCTTGTGCTGGCAACTTGGGCGTATAACAAGGGAAAACAACTGGTCACTTCAGTTGAAAGTAGAAGAAGGCCAGTGATTTCACAAAACCAGTTGCTTTCGATCCCCGTTCCCTGCTTCCGCCTGAAAACGACACGCTTCGCGCCCGGCTTGCACAGCTCGTCTGAGGTGACGGACCGAGCGGTCTTTGAATTTCAGGTGTTTGGCCCAGACCTGGTGGAGTGGACTCGGAGGTTTCGACTACGCACTGGTATCTTTAAATATATTCCTTTCTTTTTCCATCCTTATCCTTTCTTTTTCTGTTAGTATTTGCTTGTTTGTTTGTTTGTTTTTGTGGTCTTTGAGTGGGTAACGGCAAGCGAGACCAGTCCATCTTCCACCAGCAAATCTTGAATGGACGTCTAACACAACGCTTCTTCATTCGATCCACGTCATGGCCATGAACTCAAAGGAGACACTTTCCAACACATGACACGACTCCGGAAACAAAGAACCAAACAGAACTGCATGGCTTTTTCACCGAAGAAGACCCATTGGAGCGAGGTACATACAGTAGATTTGCAAAAGATGTTCTGCAGTCTGAATTGAGCTTGAACTGTGATGGCACAAAGATGTTGGGGGGACAAGAGGATCTGCTGAGCTCCCATAAAGCAACCTATATATATATATATGTACGTTGTCAATTGTACCAATGAGAAAGGGCAAGGAGCCCTTTCTAACATGTCACATGTTGCATGCCCCATAGCATATGCGGTATCTGATCTGCTGTCGATTTGAGGAATGATCACCTATCCTCATTTGGTGCCCGCGGGGACACCCAATTGTTCGCGAGAACGTTTAGGGTATTTTCTGGCTAGGCTTCCCCCCTCCAAAAACAGCTCCAAATATTCCAAATAAACAAAGAAGATCAAAGAAGCAGCTAAGTCTTCACTGACAGGAATGGCGAAGAACCCTTGAGATTTGCTTGCCAGAGCAGTTATTGGATTTTTGCTGTTCAGTTCATCGTGATTGGGAGTGCCTCAACACCCGGACATAGCAATCGAATAATCTCACCAAGAAAAAGGATGTAGTCTGGGTGATTGCAACAATAGTTTGCCTTGGTTGTATGAGCACGTTTTCTGCAGGTTGTGGCCACCTGGGACGAACATATTATATACAGTCTTTGACTGTCCGTGGACAGCTCATTTCCTGCGATTAAGTCTTCAAGTACAATAGGGGAGGTGCAAGCAGTGAGGGTGAGAGCACTCTATCATTGTGCATACATTGTATACATTAACTAAAATAACTATTCTTTGATCTACAGCATTGTCCACAAACATTGGGTTTCACTGGTACTGGGTATATCCTTCCCCTGAACGCGTTGCCTCACGTAGTGCAAAGTCGGTGTCTTTCCTCAGAGACGCGAAGCTGCAAAAAGGTTCAACCCAAAGACCTGACTATCCGTGGTCCACACAGTTTTGGAGGGGGATGAAACACTTACTGTGGTGGTTTTGTCTACATAAGTATACAATGCAAAAGTAGAATCAAAGGCCAGGACAAGCAGGACATTGAGGGCACAGCAGGACGTTGAGGCCTTACACGCCTCGAAAGTCTGCTGCACTCTGAGCCCGTGGCAAAGAACTACTCCTCCGTGCTTTCATGGTGGTCTGGCAGGCACTCAAACGTTGGCGGGTCATGTCTGATCAAACTAGTCTGTGTTCCTTCCCTCAACCAAGGGCATAACATGAAGGTAAAATTGAGGCATTTAAGGCATGTAAGACCAACAATTGCTTCTTCAACCAAGCACCTGCAGTTGCGAGGTCTTTTGACTCCACACAGAACGACTGGATGTAACACGGCACGAACAGGTGGATGTATTGATAGGTGAACATGCAGCGCATGGACAAGGTCAAACAAAGTTTCCAATTCAAATCCAAACATATGATTAGACATGAAGCAAAAGTGGAAAGAATCAATATCAATACAGCTATGTTGTTGGCAATTTGGACGGCTGCATGAGTAGATGGACAAACCTCACATCTGCGTCACACGCCCACTGCAACTAGGGACTCATGGGATCTCATGGGACTCGGGAAAAGGAGGGAGATGCAGATGTTCGAGACTTGCATGGATATGATTGAGGTGCATGCAGCCCCGCCCGAGATAAGCAGTTTCTTGCCCGTACCCAATCGTGAAGCTCTAATTGATGTGAACTCAGCAGGCTGATGGGGTGGGGTAGACAAGCCTCCGCCCACTATGGGGGCCTTCTTGCGGCCCTACTTACTTCCTGAATCTTGTTTGCAAGCATACACCGTCACCTTAGATTCGACCTCTGCAGAGTCTGGAATTCATGTTGTCCATCAATGTCCATCATTCTTCTCCCTCACATGGATGGTCTGAGTTTCCCGTCATTCGAACCCTCATCAAATTTGGGCTGCATGACGGTGCGAAAATCAACTTCATCCTCATCCTCATCTTCCTCATGAGAACCAATCAGTCTCACAGCTTTTGGAATCGTGATCACGACACTGGTCGGTTCAACATAATCTGTGAACACTATATTTCTTAATAAAAGCCACAATCATGAGCACACTGCACGACAGTCCTCTCAAACATGCATAATGCATGAATCATCATGCATCCAAGAACATCCAACTCTAGCTCATGGTGGGTCATGGCACCGTCATGTTGGCATCTCAACCTGCCATTGGTCCTTTGATATGCAAATCATCGTGAAATGCGTCTTATTCGCCGGGTTCTTGGGTCCTCCGCTTGAAAACAGCTCTCGACAGGCCCCAAGACCTCGAGGGGCAGAAATGGGACGAGCAAAGCTACCAGAAAGAAAGTGGACCTGAAGCACCAAAAAATCAACCAAGATTCCAAAGAAACTCAGAGGGAGGACATTCGAGCTGCTGACTCCGGTTGCCTTACTAACAAAGCACCATAGACAGTCAAGATTGCTCCAGCTGCTGAATTGAGATCACATAATGAATCGTTGATTTAAACTCAAACAAACAAAGTGTGATTGAGCTCATACAACACAAATAACGATACAACAATTGACAACAATATAAGGAAATGACCTTGAACTTCCCACCCCAGCGGTTCCTCTATCAAATCATCGCACATCTACCAGTAGTGGTCTAGAGATGTGTAGAGTCTCAAGTGCTTGCAACAAATCCCTCAAAGACTTGGACACCAAAAACCCTCAACCGTGTCCAACCGAAGCCAGCTGCCATTCAGGTGGCGCTCCCATCGAAAAGCACCCCGAGGTCCATCCCAAATCACTTGGGTGGTGCGAGATTTAAACGCAGCCTTACTACTAGCGAAAGCTCCTGGTAGCTTCTTGTTCCTAGTAGCTTCTTGTTCCTAGTAGTAAGGCCAGGAGCCCCTAGTAGCGTCCTTGGTCCTAGTAGTACGGCCAGGAGCCCCTAGTAGCTTCTTGTTACTAGTAGTGATGCTCTTGTTACTAAAATATCTCGCGCTTGGATCCAAAAGTTTTGACCATAGTCCAGAATTGCCGCCGCCACCAGTCAGGCCTTCTCGTCCTTTTCCTCCTCCTTCGTAATCTCGGCCTCGATGTCCTAGCATTTCTGATTTGACCACCGAAGTCAACACCTGAGCTAAAGCTTGCTAAAAACCAAGTTTTGTGGTTTATCATAAACTGTCATACAATGGCTCCAACAAAACCGATCATTGCCAGACCAGGAACTCACATCAAAATCGCCAGTCCATGGAAAGGCATAAGCGCGCCTTATGCAAAGCCCTTGTTCCGTATACATAAACAACAGGTTAGGTTAGAGGCCATCGCTACTAGGTTTCTTTTGTTCTCAATTTTGTCTTTTCGTTTTACAATATGTACATAAACCACAGGTAGTTCTGCCGCACTCCTACGATCGTGCCCTTTGTCTTCATGACATGGGGTAAAGCTGTGGGTATTGTGCCACCTACTTCTGATGTCTTGTGGCTATCTTGTCATGGTCATATTGGAGAACCTTGACTCTTCGACTCTCGACCCTTTCACGTGCCCAAAGTGTTGGATCTGTCTATGGCGCCCACTTCTACGGAGAAGTCATGACACAACAGGGAAGTTAGTGCATTGGGATGCATCGCGGTCGAAGTAGAAATTTTTGCACAGACTAAGAAATACCAAACCAACAAAGTATGGACCTACTTATACAACCTCTGAACTTCAGAACTAGGGCTTTCCAACATCGACATATCGGACTTTGTTGGTGCAGCATGGTGCAAAGCATCTCAAGATGCACCCCGAATCCTTCTCTGGAGACATGGGCTACAACTGAGGACCCTGTCTTATTCCTTTCTTGCCATGCTCCCATCATTTGGTTGCGCTTTAAAGATAGCGTACATCCCAAACCCATGTGCCGACGCCAGCCTGAAATGATACCGCCTCGACGCATGGCTGGGACGGGTCAGAAGAAATGGGACACCAACAAGGCCGAGAACAGGAACAATGGTTCCACAAGAGAACACCATCGATACAACATGCAGCAAGGCCGGCATCTATCGGTGATTCTGGGCACATGCAATTGACACAAAAAGCAACCAAAACGTGCTACCCCTTCTAGGTTTTGAACTGCCTTGTAGGCTGGCAGATGCTTTGTCTTGGCTGTGAAGGGCTTTTCAAAGATAGACAATTTGAAGCCGGGAAAGCCACAAAGGCGATCACCTGTATTGAACCTGCATCCTCTTCGACACAGTTGCCTAAAAAATGTCATCCGCGGCTACTTGATCCTTCCACAGAATGTCCACCTCATTGCCTTTGGCAACCCCCAACCTCTTCATTCAGAGCATCAGTCCTTCCTTTGTGTGGATGTAATCTATGTCAATCCATACTTCGACGTGTAAATTTTGATATTTTTTGAATGCTCCCTGCCTTGCCAATGCGGACCACTTCAGGGTCATGGCTCGAAGTGAGAAGGTGCGTGATGTAGCGCTGCCCTGAACCGAGCCATCCCACAGTCCATCAGGTGTTTTTTTTGTCAGTGTTGGGAGATACCGCGATTTCCCCTCCCGCTAGATCTCCAGGTCCCCAAAATCTCACAACAACCTGTCGTTTGGATGGTTTGCAATATTAGCAAGAAGACCAATGACTAAAGGTATACAGTATGTTGAGTATGCTTTTGTGGTTGTCTCTCTTGATTGGTTCCTGTCAACCACGCTGTTCGGAAAAGACGGATGAAACATGCTGGTCGGATGGTAGGTGAGCTGTGTTGGATGGTCCATCAACATTCCAGCGAATTTCACCAGCATACCATGAAGATCGGTCTTGGGACAAGACCCTTCTCTGAGAGACTGTTTGGACCTGTTTGGATTTAATTGGATTTATGGACAGTGCATGATCCCCCATATCCCCCCAAACGGTGGGAAACGCATTGGGCGCGCACATATCATCACTGGAGTCACTGGAGCATGGTTATTTCATGTTCTTTCTATGGTTTACGGCTGTACCCTGCGTATGCTTGCGTGGTCTTGATGGCAAATGCAGGTTGGAGATTCTTGGACCTCCAGCTGAGACGAGATCTTATGTTACTTCCAGTATGAAGAAGCCTTGCTGCTCTTTCCACAGGAAGGAAAGGAGAAGGTCGATCTACTTTGCTTAGTGTTAAGAAATGATTGTCATTCAATCTTGGTTCAGAGATTCTCCCTGCGAAGTCTGAACTCATCCCTCAAAGTGGATCGCTCGGGATCACTGTCTTCACACGAACTCTGTGGCTGTTGGGTGCTTTGATCAAGCTGTGGGACCAGCATGGCCCAGAGACGAAACATTGAGATCGCACCCTCTCGTGATATCAAGCAAATCCTCACTGCTTAAGTCAACAGCCACAAACACCCACTTCCTTGCAGAGAAACATCCAAGGGTGAAAAAAGGGAACTTGTAGGTTGGAGGCCATCACTATTAGGTTGGAGGCCATCCCAATTAGGTTGGAGGCCATTGCTATTAGGTTGGAGGCCATTGCTTCTAGGTTGCAGGACATTGCTTCTAGGTTGAAGGCCATCGCTATTAGGTTGGAGGCCATTGCTATGGAACCACCACCGTCCGCTTCGCCTTCCCGCAGCTCCACGAGGCGCTGCTCCAAGCCGCGGTGATGCTCTGCCAGCACGTGCCGCAGCCAGCGGTGAAGGTCCATCTCGCACCGGAGGGCACAAAACCGATCCCAACCAGTGGGGTCCGATGAGCAACAAGTAACAAGTAAAAAAGGACATCTAACATCCTTCTCACATCACCCAACAACATCTATATAACATCTATGTAGCTTCAACATTGAGAGGGTGAAACTCAAATCCAGCTGTGGGTTCCAAAATCTTTCAGAGTCTCTAGCGTCTACTTTTAGATGCTTTATGATGCGTTTCATCGAGACATTCTGGATGTTTGTCTCAAGCTATTCATGTGGCGCTAGGGTTTTGGCGCTCTCATCGTCACCACGGGCCATGTTCCTCAGAGGCGACTCTGTGACCCAGCGACTTTAAAGCTGTATGTGGGGCATGTTATATAGACCTCGGAAATGAACACTCATTGGTTGGGTTCCGTGACTGGATTTCGGCCGTTAGTCACCATTCAACTTTGGCTGGCTGTTCCTACGTGGCTCAATTGCACAGCTTGGACCGTCGACGTTCGGTCCAAGGCCCCGGGCAACGGGGCCGAGAGTTTCTTCGGCTGCGGCATTGCGATCGAACGATCCAGGACCCAAGATGACCTGCAGATCCCCTGAAAGCCTCGGGTTGTATCAGTTTTTCACCCTTACAGATCAAGCTTTGCAGCCTGCCCGGAACTTGCGATGTGGGGGCAAGCTCCAGGATTAGTATGCGAAGTGAAATGAAGTGAACAAGGTTTGCGAGGCGATTCTGTTAGGCTGCGGAAGCTAGGCTAGACTGACTCGATGCTGCACTCGATGCTCCGACATCTCGTTCAATGCTACAGCTGCGAGCGGTTGATCGAGAATCTGTATCCACAGCAGCATGCACGATTGTGCATGACACAGATTGCTGGAAAGATTTCGAAACACTGTTTCACAATCAGGCAGCTGCGTAAAGAACTTCACATAGCTTCACACTTGGCAAGATGCAAGCAGGTATGGTAAAGGTTGATATATAGAGATGTGGCACCTGAAACCAACCAAATACGGACACGTTCCCACAGCAGTTCTTCCTGATTTGATGATAGCCCCACCTTCCAAGGATGTTTCTTTGCAAAGGACTCAGACTATAGACTCTATGGCCTACAGGAAGCACAATTCTTCAGTATACTCCAGATGCAACAGCTACAAGCAATGACAAACTGTACGGCCTCCCAACAAACCGCCTCGGAAGATTGATCTCAGTTCCTGATCTTTGGTGGTTCCTGACCCCAGGCACATGGCCTGTCTCTCCACTTGCAGTGTTGCGCAAAAGCCATTGACCCTTTTTTCAGCTCGAGGCCCTTGCGATTTTGCTCCAGGCACCCCCAGAATTTGGGAGTTGGTGAGATGTGAGATCTCTTAAAAGTCTCTGTCTTTTGGCTTCATTGACCAATGGGTCAACGGGACATCACTCGAGTCTCGCTCGTTCCGAAACGTTCGAAATCTCAGTACTCGGGGAAAAGAGTGTAGACCTTTGAGCTTGTGAGCATTGTTAAAAACAATCAGCATTTTAATCGTGAGCATGAACACGTACCTGCAGGGAATGAATTGCATTCCAAACCTCCTGCAACATGTTCATTGGTTCCAATTATCCCAAAAGCTTCAACATGCGAAGCACACACACATGTAGAGTAACCACATGGAAAAGTAAAGCTTACGCGCTTTGCTTGTGCTGGTGCTTCAGCAAGAAATTGCTCGCATAACCTTGCGCAAATCAGCTTACGCATATGTCCAGGCCCTCCCTGCTATGAGCACCGAGGTTTTGACAAAGCTCTCGGCATTCATGACAACATGTGCTGGTCACCCCCCGGCTTGCAAAAGAACGAAGGTTTTAGACCCCCAAAAGCTTCAAAGTCAGAACAAGCCTGTTCATCCTTGATTCATTGCCAATTTAAGCTTTAATTTTGTCTACATAATCTGTGCAGCTTATATCAGCTTATATACTGGTAATATGTTCATATGCAATGTGGGATGCTGCCCCCAGCAATCTTGACCTCTTCAGATTCCGCTCTGCCGGGCCTTGTAGTCTGGGCCGGGAACGAAGCCCTCGCTCTCGTCATCTGGCAGTGGTTTGTTGGGAGCTAAGAAAGTCTGAGCCATCATGAGGGCATACATTTAATTTATGAACAAAACACAATCTGTGGACGGCAGGCCCCGGATAGGCCCGGCGAATGAGCTCTTCCTTGCATTCTTAGGCCATGTGGTAGTTGAACTCACCAACATGTGTTCGAAGTTCGTATTGCAGAAAGCACACAGTCCCAGGAAAAGTGGCCAACACTGTGTCCTACAGATGCCTGGCAACTCTCTCGCACGGGTGACTGGTGACCTGGTGCCTGTGGGAACCCCCCAAATGCTCCAACGGGGCGGGGCCGCAAGTGCGGAGAATGCAAAGCAACGCCTGGACTTGGCGGAGAACATCTAGGAGCCAACTTGCCCAGCTTGGGCTTGCCTGAGCTCGTTTCCACTGCAGTCTACACTCAGACTGTCTGTTTGATAGGAAACTATATATGCGTGGTTGATGGGAGGAAGATTCTTCGTACTCACCAGGTTCTGTCTGCTGTCACCACTATTTCACGATCAATCTCTTGGATTGACACGATCGTGCTTGCGGAGCAAAGGGAACGAGGAAATACCATGGTAGTGGATTGTAAGAGTTGAATCCTCGGGCCCTTGCTCTCCTGGTCGATGCGGTAGCTCCCAGGCCCAGGACCTATGGAAACATTGGCAGCACAGCAAGCCCACAAATACCAAGAGCCTTGTGGCAAATGGATGACCCGAATGCAGGTTCTCCTTCCTTTCTGGCCACACCACATTAGGTACTAAAGGATAATTCGCTTTGCATTATATATATACGGGGGTTGTTCAAAAGTCCTTTCTTTTTTTCCAGGCCTTTCGCAGGACCTTCGCGAAGCTTTCGCAAGCTTTCGCGCGTGGGGTTTTACCACTGTCGGCGAAAATGGTTTTTCGTTGGGGCTAGAGGCTTTCAAGGATTCATGCAGTTGCCCTGGCACGTCTTGTGTCCTCTGATCACTGACACATTGATTGCTGAGGAGCCAGCCAACCAAGACATTTTCATGTTGGTGTGTTTTTGGTTGGGCGCAACCCTCCATGAACAAGAGACGGCTCAGTCAGACCAGTTTGCTCAGACTTCCAATTTTCTTTTTCCCGGGCCGGGAAAAAGCAAAATGGTTCAGACTTCGAATTTGCTTTTTCCCGGGCCGGGAAAAAGCAAAATGGTTCAGACTTCGAATTTGCTTTTTCCGGGGCCGGGAAAAAGCAAAATGGTTCAGACTTCCATTTTGCTGTTGCCGGGCCAGGAAAAAGCAAAATGGTTCAGACTTCCAATTTGCTTTTTCCCGGCGGCCCGGGAAAAAGCAAAGTTGCCAGACTTCCAATTTGCTTTTTCCCGGCCCGGGAAAAAGCAAAATGGTTCAGACTTCGAATTTGCTTTTTACCAGCCCGGGAAAAAGCAAAATGGTTCAGACTTCCAATTTGCTTTTTCCCGGCCCGGGAAAAAGCAAAATGGTTCGGACTTCCAATTTGTTTTTTCCCAGGCCTTGAAAAAGCAAAAGGCTCAGACTTCCAATTTGCTTTTTCCCGGGCCGGGAAAAAGCAAAATGGTTCAGATTTCCAATTTGCTTTTTCCCAACCCGGGAAAAAGCAATCGGAAGTCTGAAGAGCAATTGTTCTTGCAGCGTGGCCAGGTCACCAACATGACTTGCGCAGACCTTTCGCAGGACCTTCGCGAACCTTTCGCGACTGCAGTGAGAGCACAATCGAAATCAGCCTTTGAAATTCGGTTACTAACAAGGAAGAGGTGGGTTTTTGAACGACGCTCATAATATACATATATATATATATACTGTAGTACGATGAAATGTGACAATGTCTTCAAGTATGGCAGGGAGGTCAGCCAAATCCATTTTGGCCTCCAAGCGCATGGGATGAAGAAGCGATGCACGCATGCTTAGCACTGGTTCCGAGCCTTTCAATACGGATGCGAAAGGAAACAGCCGGGCCTGTTCGGAACGAAGGGGGCCAACGGCATACTCTTTGAGACTTCCTTACCACTCTGGAATATGCACGCCTATGTTGCGACACTCTGATCCCATGAGCTGATGATTGGACATGCCCTTTCAAACACAAGCAATGACGAGCACGCGCCAAAAAAAGTGGATAGAGCAAATGCTCTCTTCAGGGAAGACCTGAACTTTGACCACTCGGCCCACTCGGCACTCTTCCTGAACAAACTACTCGGCTCTCAATCTCACCTTCATCTGACTTCTTCTTGGACCACCTTGGGCTTGTCTTAAAGATGCACGCATTCTTGGCACCTGCGAGGGGCGAACACGATGAACACGACATGAGTTGTGGGCCTCATGCATATTGGTATCTTTGCCATAGCATTCATGAGGTAAATCGAGGTAAATGACATCTCAAGTCTTCAAGACAGTTCAAGCAGCTTATGCAAACAGCTTATTTCATCTTATTTCAATTTAGACTATCACTTTGTAGAGAGCTTCTATTGCGTAAGCACGGTGTACTCAAAGAATGTCAAAGAATTGGGTCTTCTGAGACACTGAAGCACGTAAGCATCCATTCCGATGCCGCAAAAGCTGCATTTTGTCGCAAAATCACCGGATCAAGGGTGAGACCGTAGATCAAGCCTCACCGAAGGCCCTGGCACTTGTGCCAAAGGCTCCCAGTGAGTATTCAGGCGGCCTTTACCTACTCAAAGGTCCAAATGGAATTTTCAGCACACGCAGCATTTACCAAATCGCTCCAACAAACCCAGAGTCAATTTTAGAGACATAAATAGCATCTATATATATAGCCCGATATAGTAGAATATCACCTGAGTTGTGCCAAGGAGTTCGCCCAGGTTGCCAAAAAGCCGGCCCGCAGCCTCCCAAGTCAGCTCCGGACCATGAGGATCGGCAAAGAATCCTATCACTCTGTTCGGCACAGCCTCTAAGTGTTAAATCTAGGACGATTGGACCTTCAGGGTGAGGCCCCTTGATGAGGGCTTCACATGACAGCTTCAAAGTGGCCTCACCCACAGCCCGTGATCCAATGGTGAAACATCTCAAGGGCTCACGGGCCTGATGCTATGCGCAGCAAGTCGTGGACACCCGACATTGCTTGCATCGAGGACACGCTTGCTTCTTCCCAAGCCATGCTATAATTGACTTCGATTACTGTACTTTTTCAGTACCAGGAAGGGTTCTTCATGTTGATTGGCTGTACGTTGATGTAAACCAATGCCATATGTCTTCGGTTTTCTTCACCCGGGGAGGCACAGTTCTTCTGCAGTACCTGTAAATTCAATGATACTGGTTGAGAGCAGCTGGGATTGTCTAAGTCTAAGTTCTGAGATGCACAAAATCCTGCACCATCTTGCACACACCAAAACTCTGCAAATACTTGGATACATTTTGGAGTATGCGTATTCTGTGTGAGGTGACGTAGGAAACCTTTTCACCCCTCAACACCATCTGATAGATCGCCAAAACCTATGAGCACATTTGTGGAACTCCATATGTTGCTATCGCTTTTGGGGGGTCGCTATATCGCTTTACAGTGTTTCGGATTCCT